AACCACAACCAGCACCTAATACCTGACCACACCCAGAACACCCTGCTAGTATCAAATACGAGAAGTTTCAGGAAGTTAAATTAAGGTTCTGGCCCTGGATCATGAAGGACATAGTGTCAATGTCAGTCACATAACCACTAGTACATGAATCAACAGATGGATATGTGAACTGTTTCAAGAATGGATACAGAATTACCATTTCCTCAATCTTGTACCTGTGTATTCCTTTAAGACTACTTAAAGTTAACACTGTAATTTAAGAATTTGTGACTTTTACAGACGGAGATGTAGATCCTAGATTATCTTTTTTTTTTTTAAGTTGGAACTGCTCCTCCACATTTGCTTTGATTATCCCCAGGAATTTTAATAGTAAATATATTTTCTAAATGTTTGAGTTCTGGAGCCTCCTAGCTACTACTTGCCAAGGATCAGATATGTTTCTAAAAAGCAAATATTCTATCACTGACAAGGTCTAAGGTTCCTTCTTGCATATCACTTCTCCACGGAAGCCACAGGACCTCCCTGGTATTAGTCATGCCCAAGCTTCAACTTCCTACTCACAAGTTAATCACGAAAACTTTAGCCCCAAGAGCAGGGCTAGAGTTTCTAAGTGAATGAGGGACAGTTTTTCAGATCTCAATCCAGAGTAGCACTGACAATCATCCACCCTCGGTTGGCTCCCTTTTTTCTGTCTATCTCAGCAAATATCTAGCCCAAAGATATTTGTTAATTAGTTACTTCTATCTGAATAAGTAATTTCAAGGAACACCTTGGTTATCACTAGTGATGGTGGGTTTTTATTGAAAACAACGAAACAGGAAACCTTTTCCAAAGACAAGTAGACTTCTTAGAAATTATCAAAAATTGGTTAATTGCCATCAAAGACACAATATCAGCAATCCTGGCAAGAAGGATGCTCTGGTAGCCCTGTGGGACACCTCAAGGACCCTAGTGACTGCCATTCCCAGACCTCAGTATCTCTTAGGTCCACTCCTTAGCTTCTGCTACTCCAACTGTAAGGACATCATACATAGTATGCTCCTGATTTGGGTCAAAAGAAAGTAGTCACAGCAGACACTTCTGGGAAAGAGGTTTAGGGAACCATGGTTCTGGGTGACCCACTTTTTTTTTTAATTTTTACTATGTGTATATATTATTGTTTCTATTAAAATAAAAACTGACTCTAAATAACATCATTTACTATGTAGCTCCACTGTTTATATAGTTCCACTGTGTAAAGTGCTCTGCTTTACAGAGAGAAATTTCTGCTAGTAGATTCAGTGAATGAATGCAACATTAAGGCACAGGGACCACGTTCCTTTGGTGGGCTTTGTTCAGGCTTCACTGGATATCCTTTTTAACCAAAGCCAACAGGTGGATAGAAGAGGAGGACCTGAGGTAAGCTGCAATTAACCTGCAAGGAGGTCAGCAAATCAGTCCGACTGGATTAGGAAGAGATCTGATAAACTGATAATGGCTATCTTGCCTATATCCAAAAAGTTGAGGCCACTACAAAAGAACTTGTCATATCATCATCCCAAATTTCCAAGCAATATGCTTGATGTCAGAAAAGCAGAAAGTATGCCTTAGTTTCTAAAATTTTATTTCAAGTTTACAGTGCCTTACTGAATCATATACATAGAATTCTATTGTCCAAAATTCTTTTATTCAAAACACTCATCTTCAATTTTTACATTATTACTACCACTTCAGCTCTCTACCCAGCACCTCTCCAAAAAAGAAGGAAGTCATCTTTAAATGACCATTTAAATAAACCAGGTTTTCTATAATTTCCAAGATTCTATAGTCTATTCACTTGCATATCAGAGAGAACTTTTGCCAAGTTTTATTTAGCCAAAGGCATAGCTGCCAGAGTTTATTCAGAATGATGGGCTTCCAAGTAGTTCTAACCATAGGTTCAAAAGTTTGTAGAGATTGTTGCTTCATTGTTAGGTAACAGAAACAGAACATACAAGGGACTTTTCAAAGTGGGCTACAGTCTATTCCAGCAAGACTATTATCTTCCCTGAGAATTTCATTCATTCAATCAACAAAAATTTTAACTGTATTTTTTATATTTTCTCATGGTCAGGAGGGATCAAATTTCAACTGATTAAGCCATAAAACACAATTATCAATTTATAAGAAATACAATGACAGGGGACTACACTACAGGAAATACAATCAGCTAAAAAAAAAACTTGAAAATTATACAGATAAGTGATTTGGCCTCTTCAACAAATTGGAAAAGGAAAAATATGATGGATAGAACCTATAGATTAAAAGAATCAAGAGACATTTAAAAGCAGTCAAAATCATGGTGTTTAGGAAAGCATACTTCATAAAACTATTTTTAAAGGGATTAATTACCATTAAAGTCATGACAGTAGTTACTCTTGGAGGACAGGTGGTAGAGGATATATGGAAGGTACAGGGGTGGCTGGCAAGGACTATCTTCTAACATGGGTATGATTACAACAATGTTTAATTTATCCATTAACTCATACATTTTTTTCCATGCTTTTCTCTTCCTGCATTATATTTAATAGTAACATTTTTAAGGAAAAGAGGATGAAAAGAAGAAATGTTGGCAATAATTGTTGAAGTTGGGCACATGGGAGTTGATTACAGTATTTCCTTTGCATTTGCATGTATTTAAATTTGCCATGATAAAAAGTTACAAATGAAAAAAAATTACTGCATACTAATTGCTAGTCCCTGCCTAGAACAGCTCTCAATCTTACCAAGAGATAAATAGTAAATGAACAATTACCACCCAGTCTCTTAAGAGTTATGGGAGCCCAGAGGGGAAGCACAGAACCCTGGGGGTGGGGGGAAAGGGAGCTTGGGGTTGTGACTCATGAGTCCTAAGCTTATGTAAAAGTTCTCTAAAAAAATGTTGCCCCTAGCTCCTGTCTGTGGAGCACCCCTTTGGGTTTAGACCTGCCCATTCCAAATCACTTTCTTGCTCAATAAACTCTTAAGAGTTTTAATATGCCCCAATTTATCTTAACAGAGTTAACAGAAGAAGAGTAAGGGGAAGATTTCCAGCTAAAGGGAACAGTGCATCAAAGTCATAGAGAACTGAAAATAGTTTCATATTCTGGAAGATCTCTGCCATTCCCAATTCAAGAAGTCTTCAGAATACTTGTCCTGCCCACCATCTTGTCCAAAGGGACTCCTTAATCCCTGTTCACCTGCCTTTGTACTTTTGAAATTTTTTTAAGTTAACTACCGTACTAGGGGCTGCCAAAATATTTCTAAGGTATAGGTATTGAAAGTTTAACTCTCAGTCTCAAAATGGCCACCCTTGAAAATTTAAACTTCCTAACTCCATAATAATATCTATTAACTAAAACCATATTAAAAACTAAACAAAGTATGTATCACCACATCTGTTCTTTGCTGTCTGGATTCCTGTTTAAGGAAGTAAGAATGTTGGCCCTTACCCTTAATGATTTTTGGTGCCAAGGTGTATATGGACCCCCAACCCTCTGTTTTGGCATTGCATTATTTTACATAAATGAAATGCAACCCTTTTGAAATTCTTTCTGTCTTGCTTGTCTCCTCAAGGATATAAAAACTTTGTATGACTTGTGCTCCTTGAAACATTTCTCCTACCCGTAGGAGTTAATGTTTCTGGGTGTTAGTCCTTAGCCAGGCTCAAATAAAACTCCGTCTTTATTTCAAGGTGACTTAAATGAATTTTTAGTCACATTTCCTTATGACTCTGCAGGTTCTACCAGACATGAATCCTTGACCCACAGGCCCAAGGATACTGTCCCACTTGTACTGTACCCTGACTTAACAACACAACTGAGACTCAGGCTCAGGGAGTTTGAATTTCAGAAAGAGTGGGGCACAGAAATTAGGCAAAATCAAAAGAATGAGAGGAGAGAGTCAAAAACAGAATAAGTAGGGAGAGAGAGATGCTGAGATGGAAGGTGAAGACAGCTAGACTTGGCTTTGGTTCTCCAGAGTCCGGGGATACTGCTTTCCATCTGGACAGCATGAATGATGTTCCAGCTGTCCACAGAACCTGACTGCCCAGATGCAGAGGCTGTACTGTGAGCTTCCTTATCTCCCTGTATACTGTAATACAAACAAATACCTACCAATTGCCCAAGGTAACCTGAGTGTCTCAATCTCTTTCAACCTGCAAGAGACTTCCATGTCCACTCAGGATGGCTGGAGTGGGGGAGAAGGTGAGGGAAGGCAAAGGGACCAGTCACTGACCTATGAGGAAGAAGGGACTTGGAGAGTGGCCAGCCCCTGCCCAGGGGTTTGGACTTCATTCTAAGACTGTGCACACTCCAGCTTCAGGAGATTCCCAGTACAAAAAAATCAACAGTCTTATCCATTTCTTATCATCCTGATAGCAATGAGATGATCTCTAAGGCAGCTGCTTAGGTTCTCTTCCCACTTGTCAAAATGAGTCATGGTTGGGTTTTTTTGTTTTAAGTTTTTCTTAGAAAAACAAGGTTGATGCTCATAAGGGATAATAAGCATATATAATAACTGTATTATATTTAGTACTTTTCAGATAGTACTGTGCAATTCCAGATATTTTATTTTTAATTATAATTTATACATACATAAACTATACCTCTAATTATATATGCATTTAATTGTATGTTATATTCAACCAAAACATTTATAAAGAAAACAGTAAATGAATGGTTGACTGTTTCTACTTTATAAAACACAAGTCAGGGATCATTCCTCTGCTAACATTTGAGTTATTTTCATTGTCTACAGAATAAAATCCATAGAGCTTCAAGGACATTTGTAGTTTCACTATCTACATCTTCAGCTTCATCTCCTACTGTATCTATCACCTACTTTTCAGACTTTTATGGAGTTAACTACCTGGTTAAAATGGGAATGATGGAGGGACAGGGGGGAGGGGCCCCACACCCTTAGGAACAGATAGAGGAGTAACTAAATTAAATTCAGTGTGCCAATGTCATGTTAAAATCATCTAACAGTGTGTATTATACCTCATTTAGACTGGCAGATTCAGGAGGAAGGCGGCTTCTTGGAGGAGGTAAAAGTTGAGACTGGAGAGGTGAGTAGCAACTATCAGAAGTGAACCCAGCATGAGAAAAGACAGAGGAATGAAACAGTCCATTCTAGAATGGAAAAAGGAAATTATTAGGAGATGAGATTGGAGCAATAGGCACAGGACAGGACTCAGGCAGGAATGGGAGACATTGTTTGGCAGGTTGGGGTTATTTGTAAGTTTATGTGGTCTGAATATTTGTGTCTCCCCCCAAACATACATGCACAAAAACCCTCAAATATTGACATCCTAACCCCCCCAAGGGGATGGCATTAGTAGGTATAGGGTCTTTGGAAATTGCTTAAATCATGTTGGTAGAGCCCTCCTGAATGGGATTAGTACCTTCGCAGAAAGGTTGCAGAAAGGTTCCAGAGAGACCACCCAAGACTATTTCTATCATATGAGAACACAGCAGAAGGCTCCAGCTGTGAGCCAGGAGGCAGGCTTTCAGCAGAAGGTGACCATGCTGGTATCCTGATCTTGGGGTTCCCAGCCTCCAAAATTGTAAGCAATAAATTTTTGCTATTCATAAGCCACACAGTCAGTGGTATTGGTACAGGAGCCCAAAAGGAATGAGGGTAAGTAAAAGAACTCCAAGGGATTTTGAAATAGGTATGACCAGAGCACTAAAATACTGAAAGAGGATGGGCAGGATCATGGAAACCATATTCAGGGTCCTCTTTAGAACCTGCATTGTAATAATCCAGCAGTGACAACTGTTCACATCCTCCAGCCAAGGACCACCAGGCAAGTCTCACCTCTAGTTTACTGTTCCCTGCATCAAAGGAGCTAGAACACCAGGAGGACCCGCCTGACTTAGAAGGTGTTACAAAGGATTTGGGCGTGGGTTTGGTGATTTGGGGGCTGATTCAAGGAAGCATGGTTTACTCCGGATAGAGTACCTTCAGGAAGTGGGGCAATTCCATGGTTGAGTATCCTAGTAAACCTATCTATAAGGTGGGGGAAATGATCAAGGCTAAAGCTATGATTGCTAAAGGTGTGGCAGTCATTTGTATCAGTCACAGTAGGGATACCTGGTCATTTCTGTGGTTTGGACAATGTCCATATTTTTGTCTCTGTTCAGACATGATCACACAGTAGCCTTATTTTTGTCTTGACCCATCATGATCACAGAGGGGTCTTATCAGATGTTGATGTTCTGTGAAATGATTTATGCCCAACAGGAAATGCCAAGGCCTACCTTTGAGTTTCAGGTCAGCTCCCAGAGCTCAAGGGCTGCTTCTCTCCCTCCCGCTCTCACTGTTTCTACTGGATTTTTGTTAGTCTGGTTCCACAGTCCTCAGAACTTGCTGGTAAAATTCACAATGAATTCCCAATTCCTTCATTTTTTTGTGTTCTTTTTGTTTTCCCTAGGAGAGCTGTATGCAAGTCGATGAACCCCATTTTGCTCTATTCTTCCCAGATTTCCCATTTGTGACGCAGAAAGACACAGTTCCATTTGCCAGTTATCTACATTTCTGGGAAATGATAAAGTCTGAAGTGCAGTTCACATTCTCCAGAAGTACCACATAAATAAAGAGTATTGACTTTCTCAAGTGCTCAGTGCTAATGCCAGCAAATTGAGAAAAGGAAGCGCTTTCTGGAAAGCTTCACAAGACAGCTCCCCATATACTGTTAACTCATCTATGAAGCAATTTTATTTGCAAACAGAAGCCTCTAACATCATAATTTCTGGAATTTTTAGAGCTGCAAACATTTGACACAAGTAACTCTTACTTAGCTTCCCAGACTCCATACTTTACCCTCTTACTCCCCCACTTCAAGACATGTTTTTACTCCTCATTCCCACTCCTCTATCAAACGCTAGTCTCTTTCCTCACACTATAATATTAAAAAATTAATACCATATAAGATATAATTGTAATTAGTAATAAAGCTTTATGCTAAAGCTATAGGATATTAAGTGTTATATGTCTGAAGATTCTTTTATTGAAGTATTTTTTGAGCTCTTTGTTTCAGTTATAGTTCTAGGGCCTTGGGAGTACATCAGTAAACAAAATAGACAAAATCCTTGCCTTTGTGAAGCTTATATTCTAGTACACAGGAGGAGAAATAAGTTAAATATACATAGGATGTTAGTAAGCTATGGAAGAACATTGTGAGGAAATGAATAGGGATGCTGTAATTTTAAATGGAATGATCAGGGCCAGCCTCACCAAGGTGACATTTGAGCAGATTTAAAGAACAACAAACTTTGTCAAGAAGAGGTTCTGGTAGAGACAACAGCCTGAACAAAAGCCCTAAAGCTCCAGAGTTCAAGGAATAGCCAGGAGGCCAAACTGGCTGGAGCAGAAGGAACAGTGATGTCAGAGAGGCAACAGGGCCTATAATGCATCACAGGATTTTGGTTTTTGCTCTAAGTGAGATGGGGAGAAATCGGAGAGGCCTTTTTTCACTTCCCAAGTACACTGTTTTATTTGACTGCTTTAGGTACTGAGAGAGAAGGGGCTATATTTGTTGATGATCCATTTACTCAATGAACTACTTAGTATTATATCATATACAGACTAATGTAATCAAGTCACAGGAAATAATTTCTGAAATCTATAAAGAAACTGAGTTTTCAGATTCTAGGCATGTAAAGTATCTAACTACAAAATAAATTTACTTCTAAAAAAGCTCTTCCAAATTTACTATATTTTCCTACAATCTTTCCACATAAGAGAGAATTAAGAAAACACGTCATGGCAAAAACTACTTCCCAAACAGTTACCATGGTCAAATATTCTAAAATGCCCCTTTAACAAAACTTGTGACTACAGCTTGAGTTTAATAATTAACTCATTTATATTACCTGAACATTTTAAAAGATGGTATTAAACCCTTGTAAAGTGTCCCTGCATTTACATGAGCTAACTGTTCTTTTAGACAAGATTCATTTATCTTTTTTTTTTTTACTGAATTGTTCATTTAGTTGTAAGGAAAAAAATATCAGCAGTACAGGTTTTTGCATAATTCTCCATCTGTTTCAAAGTAATGATCACAGACTGCACCTTGCAAGTGCTTCACATGTTTAGTTAGTGTTCTCCTTCAGGGACCAAGAAATAGGTGAAATCCACAATTGTCAGTTTCACAGAGTGTCTTTTTGAGGCAGTATTTTTCATGGCTGAGTCTGAGACTTTAATTGAAAAGACCATTTGTTTAAAAAAAGTTCTTCCGGGTTTGTATTTAGAACTTGAATGCAGTTACCAAGAACCTCACAGCTGCTATGTAATAGGCTTGGAATGAGGAAACCTGGATTCAAATCCTGGCTCTGCCCCATTCCAGCCCAGTCACTCTGTGCAAGCTACTTGACTTCTCAGAGCCTCACCTAGCTCAACTGTAAAATGAAAAGAATCCTTGCCTCAGTTCTATCGTGAGGATGGAATGACCACACTGCAGACTTACATATCTAACACAGCCGTGGGCACATTATGGACTGCCAGTAAATCTGCCTGCCTCTGTTGCACCTGACATCAGGCCAGGCCAAGAGCTTCCCTTTCTTCCCCTCAGTAAAGAGGGTACAACTGTTTATACACTATTATTTATATCCTTATTGCCACCTCTCTAAAGAAAAGCCAGGACTTCTCAGGTAATATTCAACCTGTTAAGGGAGGAAATTTTTTGTTCTGTCCCCACTAACACTTCAAAAGTTTACACCACCATTTCTCTTGCTGGAGGAATGGGATGAGAAATGGGATCTCACTGATGCACATTTTAACAAATTACAGCAGACCCTTGAATAACTTGAGTTAGAGGTGCCAACCCCCTGCACAGTATAACTGTATCCACCTGTAACTTTTGACTTCTCAAAACAACCACTAACAGCCTACTGTTGATTAGAAGCCCTACCAGTAACAGTCAATTAACACATATCTTGCATATTACAGTGTATTCTTACAATAAGGCTAGAAAAAAGTGTATTTTTCAAATTGTCGCAAGTCTCAAAAACTTTTTCCCACATATTTATTGAAAAAAATATGCACATAAATGAGCCAGCATGGTTGTTGGAGGGCCAACCATCTTCTGTCTCAAAATCAACTACTGGATACTTATGACTACTATACTATGATACCCAACACTTTATCTTGAGTATACTTAACTCTTTTTAATTCAAATGGAAAACCTGAATATTGGTTATATGCATAAATATACATATATATTTGGGGTTATAAAAATTTATGAACTTTGATATAGCACCTTACATTTACATTATCTTGGAATTTAATCTTGCAAGTCAGTGCAGTGGAAACTGAAATCATTGAACGTGGCTGCCTGCTAAGCATCGTTGAGACACCCTGGAAAACCTGAGAAACAATATAACATAATGGAATGTGGAGTTGGGGGAAAAAAAAGCTTGGGTTTAGAATCCCTGGCTATAGGAGAAACCTTTAAAGTCTGTTAAGTAAGCTAACAAGCTCACTAGCTGAGAAACCAGAAGATCTAAGTTTAAATAACAGCCCAACTTTTTTCTTGCTAGCTTTGGCCAAGGCCCAATCACTTTGTACCTCAGCACCTTTGTTTAACTGTTAATATTAATATGAATTAGGATTTGTTAAGCACTGACCATACACTGCATATATGTTTACATAGGAGCTCCAGCCTTTACAATAACCCTTCAATGTAAATGTTATCTCTATTTTATAGATGGCTGAAACTGAGGGAACTTCGACTTATTCAAGGCCATACAGCTAGTAAGTGCAGAACGTGGATCCACATCCAGGCATATCCATCTCCAAATCCTGTCCTTAGCTACCCAGTGAACCACTTCCCAACTGCATCTCCTAGAGAAGGTCAAAGTTAAATTCCTGTGAAAAGTGAAAGTGCCTTCTGAATGGAAAAGTCCTATTAGAACATGGAATATTATAATTGTTACTACTCTATATCAATATAAATAACTCACAAAATGGGTTTGTGATTTGCCCCTCAGTGCCTGCAAACCCTGGAAGAACAAAAGGTTTTACTCTCCAAGTGCTCTTCATCTCCTCTGGGAAGTCTGCCTTGACTTCAGCAGTTTCACTGAACAGAAATGATAAACATTAAAGGAAGATATCCAAATGCCTATTGTGCTACTCAAAGGCAGCAGCACTCTGCCCTCCCTGGAGTCCAGGACAACAATATCTTGTGCTTTTCCTTGCAATGTGGACAAAATATTTTCTTGAGCTAACTTCTCATTCTTACATTTATAGTTCGCTTGGGAAGGCATATATTAAAGTGGTCACATAAACTAGTGCTTTCAAAACCACACCTATATCAAACACATGCAGTCAATCTCATCAAAGCAAATTTCAATTATTTTTCAAGGATATGGTGTAAAATTTAGAGCTGATTTCCCCTCTTAAAGTTTTGTTAACTGGTCCCACGTAACTAAGTATGTTTCTCTTGAGTTACCTACCCTTGACATAATAAACTTCTTGGAAATACCACGAAAGGGTGTCTGGCATTGGTGGAGGACAAGGCATATAAAGGGCAAAGTGGGCCTCAGTTTGGTATACCACCTGGAAAGCACTTCCTTTTCTTCACGGCCCCACCACCCACGCCGTCTTTAATTTGGAATATGCTCGGCGTGGCCCTCTCACCCCTTCACAGAAAGCCAGAGAGTAGTCCTGGTGAGGTGAAGGGCATTAACTTGCTCAGTCTGGATTAGAGATGGGAAAGCTGGTTTCCCTGACAGTGCAGCCTGCCTTGAGGCAGTGATAATAAAGTGCACATCAGATCCCAGGAAATCACTCCCTCCTCGATTGACTTACGGCTGCACTTCGTGCTGTATGGCCCAATCAGGGTGATCTGGCAGTCCTGGTGAGGTGGAGGGCATTTGCCCAGCCAGACCCCGACACAGGGAGGGTTCTCACGCCCCGAATGGCTGATTCGGGTGTTGCTCGGGCCGACTCACCGCAGAAGGAAGAAAGGTAGCCCCTGCTTCCCAGAAGCTGCATCTCCGAGCAAGGAGGTCCTGGGGCTTACGTTTTCCCCTCCGCGTGAGGCCCTCTCACCTGCCCAGCTGCGCTCCCGGCGTATTCCACCCCGCATCCGAAGCCTTTGGGGCCAATTTAAAGCCGCGGGGCGCGCGGGAGGCGGGAAGCGGGCGCGCTCCTGGCCCTTACCTCGGACGGCGAGATCTCAAACACGCCCGCGATCTTGTCGTAGAGCTCCTGGATGCTGGAGAAATCCTCCACTCTGCCCGTGGCGCTGCCGTGCGCCAGTTGCGTGTGGAAAACCAGCACGCGAGTGGCAACCGCGGGGCCCGGGGGGCTGCTGCCACGCGCGCCCGCCCGCTCTGCCCCCACCAGCCGGGCGGCCTCCTGGGACTTGGCTTGCTTCTTTCTCCGCAGCCCCAGCGGCATCTTGCCTGGCCGAGGGCGGGGGCCCATCTACGCTGCCGACCGCCGCCTCCTGGACCCGGCGCCGCGGACTTTGCGCTCGGGCCGCGGGCCCAGCGCAGGTAAAAGCGGCCGTCGGGCCAATGGCAGAGGCGCTTCCGCCTGGCGGAGCGGGGCCAGGGCCCCTCCACTCGGGGGCGCGGCACCTGGACCTGGGGCAACTATCTGCCCGCCCTCCGGATGCACCTGGGCGTTCCCGCCTCTCATCTCCTGGCTTCTGTACCCTCCTTGTAAAATGACTCGATTTCCGTGAAAGCCTCGGGATGCTGAAGCTACAGAACACACGCCTTCAGAATACCAATACTCCGGCCGGCTCTGCTGGTGCTTTTCATAAACGGGTGGTAGGCACCCTCTCACGCTTGGGCTTCACGTCTTCATGTCCCTAGGTCTAGGCCACTGGGGATTGGGTTTAAGTAGAAGTCAACCTTCATCTTCATATTACACTCTGCCGAGGAGAATGGGAAGGGAAAGTTTTGAGATTGTGGCCACCTTCGGCCAGCCCTCGGCACCTCGGTAATCCAGCTTTCTCTCCCAAACGTTCAAGACTCTCCCAGGTCCTTTGCTCCACATCTGTAGGACCCTGCCTCCTATTCTCAGAGAAAATTAAGGCCATTCAGTGTAACATGTGAGCTCCCTCAGTTCCCCATCCCTTGTCTGTAATCACACCTGCCTTCTCCAAACTCTGAAGAAATCTTTATTTGCCCCTTGATCTGGTCTCTTCACTCAAAATCTCTTATTTAAACTACTTGTTGACTCTTCTTTGTCCCCACCCCATAATAGTCATAAGTCAAATATTTTACGTTGCTTTCAAGTCCTCCATCCCTGCAGACGTACTTTGTACCTCAGCACCTTTGTTTAACTGTTAATATTAATATGAATTAGGATTTGTTAAGCACTGACCAAACACTGCATATATGTTTACATAGGAGCTCCAGCCTTTACAATAACCCTTCAATGTAAATGTTATCTCTATTTTATAGATGGCTGAAACTGAGGGAACTTCGACTTATTCAAGGCCATACAGCTAGTAAGTGCAGAACGTGGATCCACATCCAGGCATATCCATCTCCAAATCCTGTCCTTAGCTACCCAGTGAACCACTTCCCAACTGCATCTCCTAGAGAAGGTCAAAGTTAAATTCCTGTGAAAAGTGAAAGTGCCTTCTGAATGGAAAAGTCCTATTAGAACATGGAATATTATAATTGTTACTACTCTATATCAATATAAATAACTCACAAAATGGGTTTGTGATTTGCCCCTCAGTGCCTGCAAACCCTGGAAGAACAAAAGGTTTTACTCTCCAAGTGCTCTTCATCTCCTCTGGGAAGTCTGCCTTGACTTCAGCAGTTTCACTGAACAGAAATGATAAACATTAAAGGAAGATATCCAAATGCCTATTGTGCTACTCAAAGGCAGCAGCACTCTGCCCTCCCTGGAGTCCAGGACAACAATATCTTGTGCTTTTCCTTGCAATGTGGACAAAATATTTTCTTGAGCTAACTTCTCATTCTTACATTTATAGTTCGCTTGGGAAGGCATATATTAAAGTGGTCACATAAACTAGTGCTTTCAAAACCACACCTATATCAAACACATGCAGTCAATCTCATCAAAGCAAATTTCAATTATTTTTCAAGGATATGGTGTAAAATTTAGAGCTGATTTCCCCTCTTAAAGTTTTGTTAACTGGTCCCACGTAACTAAGTATGTTTCTCTTGAGTTACCTACCCTTGACATAATAAACTTCTTGGAAATACCACGAAAGGGTGTCTGGCATTGGTGGAGGACAAGGCATATAAAGGGCAAAGTGGGCCTCAGTTTGGTATACCACCTGGAAAGCACTTCCTTTTCTTCACGGCCCCACCACCCACGCCGTCTTTAATTTGGAATATGCTCGGCGTGGCCCTCTCACCCCTTCACAGAAAGCCAGAGAGTAGTCCTGGTGAGGTGAAGGGCATTAACTTGCTCAGTCTGGATTAGAGATGGGAAAGCTGGTTTCCCTGACAGTGCAGCCCGCCTTGAGGCAGTGATAATAAAGTGCACATCAGATCCCAGGAAATCACTCCCTCCTCGAGGGAGTGCACTTACGGCTGCACTTCGTGCTGTATGGCCCAATCAGGGTGATCTGGCAGTCCTGGTGAGGTGGAGGGCATTTGCCCAGCCAGACCCCGACACAGGGAGGGTTCTCACGCCCCGAATGGCTGATTCGGGTGTTGCTCGGGCCGACTCACCGCAGAAGGAAGAAAGGTAGCCCCTGCTTCCCAGAAGCTGCATCTCCGAGCAAGGAGGTCCTGGGGCTTACGTTTTCCCCTCCGCGTGAGGCCCTCTCACCTGCCCAGCTGCGCTCCCGGCGTATTCCACCCCGCATCCGAAGCCTTTGGGGCCAATTTAAAGCCGCGGGGCGCGCGGGAGGCGGGAAGCGGGCGCGCTCCTGGCCCTTACCTCGGACGGCGAGATCTCAAACACGCCCGCGATCTTGTCGTAGAGCTCCTGGATGCTGGAGAAATCCTCCACTCTGCCCGTGGCGCTGCCGTGCGCCAGTTGCGTGTGGAAAACCAGCACGCGAGTGGCAACCGCGGGGCCCGGGGGGCTGCTGCCACGCGCGCCCGCCCGCTCTGCCCCCACCAGCCGGGCGGCCTCCTGGGACTTGGCTTGCTTCTTTCTCCGCAGCCCCAGCGGCATCTTGCCTGGCCGAGGGCGGGGGCCCATCTACGCTGCCGACCGCCGCCTCCTGGACCCGGCGCCGCGGACTTTGCGCTCGGGCCGCGGGCCCAGCGCAGGTAAAAGCGGCCGTCGGGCCAATGGCAGAGGCGCTTCCGCCTGGCGGAGCGGGGCCAGGGCCCCTCCACTCGGGGGCGCGGCACCTGGACCTGGGGCAACTATCTGCCCGCCCTCCGGATGCACCTGGGCGTTCCCGCCTCTCATCTCCTGGCTTCTGTACCCTCCTTGTAAAATGACTCGATTTCCGTGAAAGCCTCGGGATGCTGAAGCTACAGAACACACGCCTTCAGAATACCAATACTCCGGCCGGCTCTGCTGGTGCTTTTCATAAACGGGTGGTAGGCACCCTCTCACGCTTGGGCTTCACGTCTTCATGTCCCTAGGTCTAGGCCACTGGGGATTGGGTTTAAGTAGAAGTCAACCTTCATCTTCATATTACACTCTGCCGAGGAGAATGGGAAGGGAAAGTTTTGAGATTGTGGCCACCTTCGGCCAGCCCTCGGCACCTCGGTAATCCAGCTTTCTCTCCCAAACGTTCAAGACTCTCCCAGGTCCTTTGCTCCACATCTGTAGGACCCTGCCTCCTATTCTCAGAGAAAATTAAGGCCATTCAGTGTAACATGTGAGCTCCCTCAGTTCCCCATCCCTTGTCTGTAATCACACCTGCCTTCTCCAAACTCTGAAGAAATCTTTATTTGCCCCTTGATCTGGTCTCTTCACTCAAAATCTCTTATTTAAACTACTTGTTGACTCTTCTTTGTCCCCACCCCATAATAGTCATAAGTCAAATATTTTACGTTGCTTTCAAGTCCTCCATCCCTGCAGACGTCTCAAAGCTGCATTTTCCCAACAAAGTAAAACAGTCTTCAATTATTAGCTGTTTCCTTACTTCCCCTTTGCTCTTAGACTGCTGGCATCGGACTTTGCCCCCACACTCCACTGAAATCATTCCTACTGTGCTCAGCACTTCTTAATCATCAAATACATGATTAACTCTTTTCAATCTTTATCTTAACCTTTTAGAGTATCTGATTGCATTGACCATTTCATTCTTAAATCACTCCTGTTTTGACCTCCTTACCTCTCCCTTTCCTAACTGCTATTCTCCAGGAATGATGTTCTCTTAGACTACTTTTCCCCAGACATCTTCTCTTACTGTGCACACTATTCCTGAATGACCACATCTATTGTCTTCTTTTCAGGAGGTGTTGTTGATCTCCAAATTTGTGTCTGCAGCTCAGTCTACCAGAAAGGGAACATACTGCAGGAAACTCAAGTTGAGATTGTACAAACTCATCCTTTCTCCTGAAAGCATCTTTTCTTCTCTTTTTGTTTTTCTCTCTTAATTTCAGTAAATAGGATTGTTTACTCAATGTACCAGACCAGACAGCATGGAGTCATCATACCAAGCTTTTTCTTTTTTCCTCACTTCTCACATCAATTTGGTCTTGAAAATCCACATTTCTCAAAGTAAGGTTAGCAGAAGTACTAGGGGAAGGAATAGGAGCCTACTAATACTTTAGGATAACTTTACAAATTTTCTTTTATGTTTATTTGACTTAAACAATTAATATGAACACATTCTGGTTCATACTCCCTGAAAACAGAATACTGCTACAGGATCTCAGGGCTCCAATTTGCCTTGATGTTGCAACTGCTGTAGAACTAAATAGTATTCCTTTAGTTGTCTTGGGCTAATAGGAGAATAGTAGAGAAAACCTAAAAAGCAAATGATATATTGCCATCAAGTAAAAGCTAAATAATTTCATAATACACTGTCTGAATAAAAAACTCAATGAGGTTTGATTAAAGAAAACTAGGAAGAGAAGTGAACTATCAAAGGGTATATGACAGGTACATTATCACTATAGCATTAGGGATTATAACTCTGGGGGGAAATCCCAAGGTAAAATCAGTCAAAGGGAGAAATAAAGTGGGAGAAACCCATTTATTTCTTACAAGCAGTCCACTTCTGCTCCCTGTGTCTCTCGCAGCCTGGCTGCAGAAGAAGAGACTCCCACCCAACCTCTCTGGTCCAGATAAGCCCTTGCTTGCCCTTGCAATTACCTATTGATATGGAGATGGACTACTTCTCTCCACCCCTTGGAAGCACCTATTGTGTGGGGATGCACTAAAGCCAGATGAGAGATTCTGGAAATACTGCAATTTTACCCACAGTGCACCCCTCCAGAAATCTTACCTTACAATCTACTCATTCCCCATCTTCCACAATAGCCCCTGGGTGAAAAAAACTGGAGCATTGTAACCAGAATAATAACATACAATAGCAACAGCAATAAAATCATGATAATCCTCAAGCCGGAGGATTCAGCTAGGTTAAAAGTTCTAGGCAGAAAAGTCCTTAGGTCACCCATTCCACAGGCAGTCAGTAGCTGAACCGGTAGGGAGGTCAGAGCAATTATCATGCGGCAGCTGCAGCCAGGCAGCGAACCCAGGTGGCAGGGACTGCAGAAAATAACAACCTTAAGGCTGACAAGATATGTGTTTTAATGGCACCAGCATAGGCAAATCTTGTGCATCAGGTAGGATGCACGCAAGAGTGGTCCTGTGATAAAACAGTGGCAGGAATGGGATCTCATCCTGATCTAGTATACCAGACTTTCACCCTCCTCGGGAGTTACAGATGGGTCAATATATAGGGCTACAGGAGGTACATGCACTGGCCATAAAGATAAAACTTCCCTGTAAGATTCTCTTACTTCCTGGACGTTTTGGGTACACTACCGTGATCTTTGGGGGCCACACGAGGAATACACATGAGGCCAGCTTCCAGGCCTTTTACCCAAGGTGCCAGAAGGCGCAGCCATCGCCAGTCCATGTGTTGAAATATCCAGGGCCACGTCCCCTCAACAGTGTCTCCAGCATGTAATGCAGTTGCAGCTGGCAGCAGGATGTTGCTCTGCTCGCCATATCCGGGCTTCAATAACTCCTCTTTGGTTTGCACATACAGTTGTATAGGTGAGGCACTAATGTGTGTTAGCATATGCACAGGGCTCAAGGCTCCTTTTCAGGGCTTCTCGTTCAAAAGCTGTAGCACTGTAGGTAAGCGAACAGACCAGCCCCATCGACTATTGGTGTCTGACTTCAGACCATATTTCAACAAACCATTGTATTTCTCTATAATGCCTGCCCTGGTAGGGTTATATGGTACATGAAACTTCCACTTTATTCCTAATTGCTGCACCCATCCTTGTAACGCATGTCCAGTAAAGTGGGTGCCATGATAGCTCTGAATCACCTGCAGCTGGCCATAGGCTGCAAAGAGAGGCCCTACGCCCCTTTTGGTGGTTGGCTGATCTTCATGAGGTACAGGAAAAGCAACCAACAGGCCAGTAGCTGTGTCCATACAAGTCATGGCATACTGATATCCCTCTGCTATCGGCAAAGGCCCAATACAAGTCATGGCATACTGATATCCCTCTGCTATCGGCAAAGGCCCAATACAGTCTATTTGCCACCTGACAAGGGGTATCAGTCCCTTTATTATTGTCCCATGTTGCTGCAGGACTCAGTTTAAGTCCCTCTTAGAGCACAAAAGGCTCTCCTTCTGGACTCTGCTGACTTCTTCAAAGGTCAATGGCAAACCCCACCTATGATCTACAGCCCACATTGTCTTTTGTCCCATGTGCAACAAACACTGATGTAACAATTGGGCCACATCAGATGCAGGCTTTCCTTCTAGCCAATGCATCTGGGCCAGTATATCTCCTTCATCATTCCCTGGGGATGCCAAAGACAAATGGCCAGTCACATGACATGCAATAACTGTCTTAGTCTGACCAGAGGCTCATAGGTCTTGCCACAACTCTTACCCCACAGAGGCTAGTGACCATCCATCCAGTTGGCATGGTACTGTGCTAGTAGCCACAGGGTCAAGCTCTGATAGACAGCTCAGCTGTCTGTGCAGACAACTACTGAGGGTGCTCCTGGGTGATTGTGAGCCATACTGCCCACAACTCAGCCCATTGGCTGCTCTTCGCCTCTCCATCCTCCATCCATATTGTCTCAGTCTTAGGATGGAAAGCCACAGCCCTCCACTTCGGAGGCTGCCTTTGACTGGAGCTGTCTATATACCAAGCATCTTTAGATATAAGGGCTTTTCTCTACTGATAAGGGCTCTCATCTACCAATGACTCAAGAGCTGGTTCTTCCTGCTTTCCACTGGTATAGATCACTGGCCCCAATAAGCATTGGAGTTCTCCACTTAAAGGGCTAGTAGAGAGAGCACTACACTACTGTAAATATGCACCCCATTTGGCCAGTGTAGACAAATGTGCCATGCCACTCTGTGGTCTTTCAGTCCAGTCTCGCACCCACCCTGTGATGGGATAGGTGTACCAGACCTTTGCTCCCTTCCATAGTTGTGACCAGAATCCAATAGGTTGGCATGTCCGTTCAAGCTGCTGCCAAAGACCCCATCCATAACTGTCTTTGGTTGCATGAACATTAACTCACAGGGCCTTGATGAGTCCATTTACACTCAAGGTCTGTACAGCCTTGACTGCTCACTTAGCAGCAGTAAAAGCAGCTGCACATGTCTCATCCCAGGCCCACCTCATGCCCTTTCATACCAACCAGTATAAGGGATTCAGGATAAACACTCTCCAGTAGCCCAAAAGACCCAAAAACTCTTGTAAGAATGCCGCAGTGGTAGGGGTAGGGAAAGCCTGGACCTTGTCTGTGACTGCTTCAGGAATAACTTAAGTTTTACCCAACCAGACAGCCCCCAAGAATTTTAGAGACAAACCAGGCCCCTAAACTTTGGTGCTATTCACAGCCCATCCTTTCTCCTGTAGATGTTACAGCAGTCTAGGAACTGCCCCCTCTAAATCTGAAAGAGAATCAGACGTGAGCATAATATAATCAATGTAGTGATACAGCCGCACCATTTGCAGTTTCTTCCATGTGGCCAAGTCCTGGGCTACAAGTCCATGACAGATGGTGGGACTGTGGAGGCATCCCCGTGGAAGCACAGTGAATGTTCACTGCCAGCCTTCCACATGAAAGCAAACTTTCCTTTCTTTCCTGACTTTCCTTTGCTATGTCAATAGAGAAGAAAGCATTAGAAAGGTCCACAACATAATGATATGTCCCTAGTTCATGACTGAGTGTGTCCATAAGGGCTACTAGGGAGGGGACAGCAGCATGCAAAGGGGGTGTGACTTTATTCAATTCCCTGTAGTCCACAGTCATAGGCCAGGAGCTGTCTGGCTTTTTCACTGGCCACACAGGGGAATTAAAAGGACTCTTAATGGACTTTATAATGCCCACTTTCTCCAAC